TAAGCCAGGATTTGAACCCAGGTCCATCAGAGCCCACACTCTTATTCACCATACAAGATACCAGAGGCTGCTCTGCTCCTGAGGGGTGCACAGGCAGGAGCTCTTCCAGTCCTCTCCCTAGTCCTGTTCTCTGGGTATATTCATTTCCTAGGGAGTCCCAAGTGCCCGACAGGAATCATTCGTCTGTCCCGGGGTAGGGGGAGGATTTCAAGGAAAGCAAATTTCCATTGAGGGAAGCCAAATGAGTCCAGCTTGAATTGCAGACTTTCCCATCACATAGACCTGAGAGACAGGCTCTACCCAGGGCCTCAAATCAGACCCCTGGGAAGTGGGAGAAGGCGGCTCCCTGCTGAAAGGTCTGAGGTTGCTTGAAACCCTCTTCTCAGGAGCTGTTCCTGCTCTCAGGCCTGGGGTAGGCCAGCAGTCTTTTCCAATGGTGGAAAGTATGGACTCTAAACTTCCTTAGAGGTCCTGTTTCTTCTTTTTTTTTACACAGAGTCTCACTCTGTTGCCCAGGCTGAAGTGCAGTGGTGTGATCACGACTCATTACAGCCTCGACCTCCTGGTCTCAAGTGATCCTCCAACCTCAGCCTCCCAAGTAGCTGGGACTCTAGGAACACACCACCATGCCTGGCTAATTAAAAAAAAATTTTTTTAGTAGAGATGGGGTCATGCTATGTTGCCCAAGCTGGTCTCGAACTCCTGGCCTCAAGCAATCCTCCTGCCTCCCCTTCCCAAAGTGTGCTGGGATTATAGGTGTGAGCCACCGTACCCAGCATAGGCCCTAGTTCTTAACAATAGTCTCAGGGAGATGCTCCCGCACCATGCCCCCCAGGTCACAGGAGTCGGTCAAGCTGGTTCAAATCCCGGCGGTGCAGCCTTAGCCTCACCCTCTCTTAAGCCTCAGTCTCCCTACCCTGCAGGGGTGTTCTGAGATAATGTATGTAAAGCATCAAACACCCTGTTCAACACAAAGCAGAGGCTCAATAAAACAAAGCTCTATTCACTATCATCAGCACTGCAACGCAACACAACAGAGGCTTGGAATCTGTAAGTCCCCTGAATTTGTGCATGAAAGTATCTGTGTGTCTCCAACTTTCCAGGAGGGGGCAGTTCATAGCCTGCCTTGAGAAGGCAGCTTCTCAAGGGTCTTCATGACACCAAAGAAGTTAAGAACCACAGCAAAATAATATTGATGTTCAGGCTGGGCGTGGTGGCTCATGCCTGTAATCGCGGCACTTTCGGAGGCCAAGACAGGCAGATCACCTGAGGTTAGAAGTTTGAGACTAGCCTGGCCAACGTGGTGAAACCCCATCTCTACTAAAAATACAAACATCTGCTGGGTGTGGTGGTGCCCACATGTAATCCCAGGTATTTGGGAGGTTGAGGCATGAGGATCGCTTGAACTCGGGAGGCAGAGGTTGCAGTGAGCTGAGACTGCACAACTGCACTCCAGCTTGGGCAATAGAGCGAAACTCGGTCTCAAAAAAAAAAAAAGAATACTGATGTACTGGTGGTACTTTATTGGGTGTATATATCTCTGGGCTTCGGTTTTTCCGCTTTGAGACTGGGGAGCCTACCCTAACTGTCTCACAAGGATGGTGTGAGACTTGGGTGAGACTGGAGGAGAAAAGGATGCTGTGAACTACTCTGGGCTGTGCGGGGGGGTGGATGGGAGACTTATCCTGCTCCTGCCAAAGAGACAGCCAGGGCCGGGTGTCTACAGGCTGGGCCACAGAGGCAGCTGCTCCGAAGCCCCCTCACAGAGAGGCCTGAGAGAGACACGAGCCTCCTGCCCCAGCCCAGGCTGGTCCTAGGTGGGGGGCCCAGGGCAGGATCTGTCCTTCTTGACTGAGAAGCTCCTGACAGGGCCTCCCCTGTGGCCTGTGGGCTGGGGTTTTGCTTTTGGAGATCAGGAGGCCAAGAATCCAGTCCTGGGTTCAACTTCTAGCTCTGTCCCCACCAACTCCTACCAGCCTGATGTAGTAGCATGTCATGAGCATGGGCTTTGGACTCAGAGAATCGTGGGTTCAAATCCCAGTTCTGACACTTACTACTTTGTAAAATCGGTCCTTTAAAATGACTGTTAACATGAATGTTAAAATTGTGTAACACTAATATTTTCATCATTCATATTGTCACACATCACTGTGTGAATTTGCACAGGTCCTTACCCTCGTTGGGTCTTGGTTTCCCCATCTGTTAAAATAAAGAGGTTGGTTAGAAAGGCAGCCTAGGCCAGGAGCAGTGGCTCACGCACTTTGGGAGGCTGAGGTGGGCAAATCATTTGAGGTCAGGAGTTCGAGACTAGCCTGGCCAATATGGTGAAAGCCTGTCTCTACTAAAATTATAAAAATTAGCCAGACGTGGTGGCAGGCACTTGTAATCCCAGCTACTCGGGAGGCTGAGGCAGGAGGATCACTTGAACCTGGAGGTGGAGGTTGCAGTGAGACCATGCCATTACACTCCAGCCTGGGCGACAGAGCGAAACTCCGTCTCAAAGAAAGAAAGAAAGAAAGGAACGAAAGGAAGGAAGGAAAGAAGGAAGGAAGGAAGGAAGGAAGGAAGGAAGGAAGACAGGCAGGCAGGCAGCCTAGGAGGGGGAACATGCAGAGAGTCTGGTCAGTCCTGGATTAAAACTCAGGAAAAATCCACTTTTATCTCTTTGAGCCTCAGTTTCTTCATCCGTGTTAAGGGTCTCATTCTTCATTTGTATTCAACAGACACTAGCTGATTTTTTGTGTGTGAAGTGCCAGGTCAGGACTAGGTGCTGCTGGTAAAAAGATGGTCCTACCTCTACGTTACGGGTCATGGTGAGAACCCCTCCCAGGAACGCAGGAGGAGCCACAGAGATGGCAATGTGAGCAGGCTTGTAAGCTGCAGAGTAGCACAGTGTCAGCCGCTGTTAACGGACCCTGGAGGGCCTCCAATTACAGACCAGAAAATAAAGCAGGGAGGTCCCTAAATATTTACCTGCTAGACAAAAATAACCCTCTTAGCAGAGGCACTGAAGGCAGCTTTAGAATCCAGACATTTGTGTGTGTGTGTATATCTGTGTGCACACGCGCACTGGGGGTGTGGAATGAAATGAGGTCATATGGAAATGGACTATTTTTATTTCAACAAGGCATTTTAAAAATACTCTTAATTATATGAAGATGGGGAAAGATTTTCTCAAAAATTAAAGAGAAGAGTTAGAGCCGCCCTCCGGCCCCCCACGCGCTTCCCCAAACCCTGCTCTGCCTCCAGGCTTCTGCTCCCATCTCCTCTGGCCCCTCACCTTTCCCAGGCCCCCGCAGCTCTTGGCTCCCACTCCTGGGAGGGAGTTGGCCCACACATCTGGGCAGAAGGGAGCCAGAATTCGCAGAGCCCCACCCTCTAAGTCCTTTCCAAGTGGGTTCTTATGTCATCCTCACTCTGGGAGGCAGGCCCTCTAATTCCCACTGCACAGATGAGGGGGAGCTCATCACCTCTGGAGCTAAGGAAGGTTGTGCTCCCAGGCTGAGGTCACACAGCCTGTCAATGGTCTGTATGGCCCGGAGCTGAATCTCCTCTGCTAGAGGGGGCCGCCTTCCAGGGCAGCTGCTGCTGAGGTTCTGCAAGTCCTGAGACCAAGGGATCCTTAGGACTGCTCAAACCAAGGACTAGGCAAATTCCTCTTGGGTGGGACGAAGACTGGGGCACAGGTCGGACAAAAGCCTTCTGGCCCTGGCTTCTGTGCCTCCTTCTTCTACACAGGAATGATGGTGTTTTTTGTTGTTGTTGTTTGAGACAGTCTTGCTCTGTCACCCACTGCACTGCTGGAGTGCAGTGGTGTGATCTCAGCTCACTGCAACCTCTGCCTCCCGAGTTCAAGCGATCCTCCTGCCTCAGCTTCCTCAGTAGCTAGAGTTACAGATGCACACCACCATGCCCAGCTAATTTTTGTATTTTTAGTAGAGACAGGGTTTCACCATGTTGGCTAGGCTGGTCTTGAACTCCTGACCTCATGATCGCCCGCCTTGGCCTCCCAAAGTGCTAGGATTACAGGCGTGAGCCGCCGTGCCTGGCTGATGGTGGATATTTATTGGGCACCTACTGTGTCTCTCTCAGCCACCTACTAAGGTAAGGACTGTTACCATCCCCATTTGACAGATAAGGAAACTGAGGTTCTAAGAGATGAAACAACTTGTCTACGGTCATATCTAGTAAGAGCTGGCACCAGGACATGAACCCGGCTGGTGTGGCTGCAGAACCCCTCAGTGGTCCGCTGTCCCCCAGTACAGCCCCCAGCCCAAAAGAAGGAAAGGGACTTGTGCACAGTCACTCAGCAAGTCCTGACAGGGGCCCAGGCCAGGCTCTTCTTGCCCCTCTGTCCTCTATTCCCTCCAGAATAATCTAGCACATGCTAGAGTCACCAACCTGGCTGCCAGGAGATTGCATTGTCAATACATAATCAATTTACATTAGAAAGAAAGAGACATATGCTTCCATGCCAAAAATGCCAACAGAGCCTCCTGGGGTGAGTGGGGGCAGGCCAGAGTGAGAAGACATTTAAGGTCCATTTTCTCTCCACCCCCTGTGGATCCCCCAAACTACATGAGGCAACCTGGGGAGCAAACCCAGGGCTACGTACTGACAGCGCACCACCGCTCCCTTGGTCCAGCCGCTGCCGTCTCCTGTCTGGACTCTGTGGTGGTTCCTCCTGTCCCCTGCTTTGCCCCATCCCCCACTGTCTGGCCTCTCATGACAGTCAGAGTGGTGCTTTCTGAACCCAGGTTAGATCCTGTCACCTCCTCAAAACTCTGCACTGCTCCCATCTCACTCTAGGTAGAAGCCAAAGTCCTGCCACGGCCGGTCCCTCAGTGTCACCTGCTCCCATTCTCCCCGGACCTCCCGCTGCAGCCACACTGGCTGCCTTACACACCCCATCACAGCGCCTTTGCCCAGCTCTCCCCTCTGCCTGAAATACCCTCCCCCAGGTATCCCTGAGCCCCCTCTCTTG